GTGCATATTTCTGCCATAAACTAAAGCCATGCTCTTGCACAAATTTGGAAAGCTGCACAAATTAAACAGAAAAAGTCACACAAATGAAACATGAGCACTTGTTCAGTAATTTGCAAACATTTTCAGTGGATATGGTCTCACACTTGAGTTTGCAGACAGGGCAGGCTTATATATTTGCAAGCAGAAATTAAATTCCCATATACCCTTAACCAGTGTGAGAATTACCCTGACACCAGCCCTTGTCAATAGCATTTTTAAACTGGGAGCCTGACATTCAGGCACAATCACTAGCTTTTATTGTCCATTTAGTCAGTGACCTATTTTTTAAATGACTATTGAATCCGAGTGAAAAGTGGAAGAGGAACATCGCTTGCTGCCTTTGTGGAAAACTGCACTTTGGAGTCATCTCACAGATCAATCCCCGGGCTAATGTTTTTGAAGAGGATGCTCTGCCAAAGAAAATGCCCTCTTTGTTAAGGCAGTCATCTTCAACCTGGTGCCCTCCATTTCTTTGTGCTATGTTTCCCAGCATTCCTGTGCATTGGTCATACCAGCTGTGGCTAATGAGAGTCAACTTCCAAAACATCTGGCGACACCAAGTTGGGGAGGATTCTGTAGGGCTATGAAGCCCCACTTTATGACATTAACCCTTTCCTCGATGTATCCTATGCCAATGGCATCAATGCCACGCAAAACAACAAAAACCAGTTACTTGGCACGAGGTATTTTAAAACACCTGTTTTAAAGGGTTAACATTTGCTTTTACCAAAATCTGGAAGAGTTTTAATAACCTATTTCAAGAGGAGGAGAACCTGTTAGGAATATTACTACTTTGTGTAGTTTGCTCTTTGACAAAATTAGTATATGCAGTACATTTAATCAAGGTGGCTCTTTCAAGAAATGGATTAAGCTTTATAAAGCTTCCATCATGTAGCAAGAAAAAAGCTGGAAGAGGATTAAGAGTACCACCTAGATAAATTTAATGGGGACTTCTTATGATTGAAATTCCTAAGCATGCAGAGGCTCATCTTTTAGTTAAACTAAACTAGCTAAACACATTCATAAGGAGTTGCTTTTTGTAACTAGAAACTTCCTCAGAAGCCATTGGTATTTCAATTCAGTCTGGACAATAAAAGGGGCAGGGGAGTTCTTTGAAATGGAGTGGGAATCGTGATTCTCAATATATGCCTACCTTTCATTATTACTTTTTAAATGATCTATATAGACCTTGTTGCAGAGATAATCTTTCGCACTAATTGCAGGACGCCAGGGAAAGTTGAAGGCAGGAGAAGAAAAGGAAGACTAAGTAAGAGATGGTCTGACTCCATAAAGGAGGCCACAGCTTGCATTTAGGACAGCTAAGCAGGGATGTCATTAATAGGGCATTTTGGAGGCTTTCATGCACAGGGTTCCCATAACTTGGAGGTGACTGGATGGCACAGAACAGCCACCAACAGTGCAGGATATGCTCTCAAACATTCAGCAGGAAAATAACAATAGAAACACCTCTCTTCTTCAGTTAAAAACAGTCTCCTAATTTAACACCCTTCATCATCCAAAGTTTTATATTAGGGACACTATAAAGAACCTGGTGTCTGTGGTGTGTATTGCCTAACAAAGGAGGCAAAGATGACAGATGACCCCAAATTAGATGGGACAGAAAAAGCCCTCCAGATTGTGAAGTACTCACAAAGAATCTCCAAGTTTTGGGACTGGGCAACAGAATGGCAGGTAAGAAGGGAACTGTAGTTGTACAAGACCAGTCACCACTGTGGGCTGGAAAGAAAGAAAACAGGCCCAGGCTAGTTCTCTTGAAGAACCACATGCGGTAACATCACTGCCACCACCCCTGCTTCTCCCTAGCAGTAGCCCACAACTTGGGCAGAATTCTAAAAAGCTGAGTGAAAAGCAAATTGGAAGCAAAGTTGTAGAGGAGAAGGAAGAATATAAGAATCCTTGTGCAGCTAAATCTTTTCTTTAGTCTTAATATATTTTCTGATATTTATAAGGCAAGCCAGATATCAAAGGAGACAGTCACATCCTGCTGGACTTCTTTCCCTCCACCTCTACCTACATAGGGCTTTTGACACATATCAGAGCAGCCCATATTGAACAGGAGAAAGCACCAGGCTGGAATCCCACCGAACTGAGCAAGTGGAGCCAAGTAAGAATGATCAGGCCAGGTTGTGCAGAAAGTGATGCATATGGCAAGAGCCTGCGGGGCAGAGGATGCCATTGCGTTTCTGTATGCTCTGTGCAAAGAGGTGCTTTGCATATTTTTCAAGGTGTGCTGTGCCAGTGGGGACAAGGCTGCCCAGCGACTTTGGCCCCAAACATTGTCCCTCAGTGCCAGCATTTTACTTTCAGCCTGAGGATCTAAGATCCATAGATGCCCCTAGGGGAGAAAGAAGCCATTGAGGAAGGAGGCAGGCTATGCCTGTCTCGAACAAGCCAAGATGATACAATATAGAAATAAGACTGCTCTGAATTTCTGACAGCTTCCAAATGTAATTTTTTCAAAGGATATAAACTTTATAAATAATCCAAAGCAGGTGGACCCTGCAAAGGATGCTGCCCTTTGCCAATTCACTAGCTAGTGGGAAACTGGATTCTTCCTGACAGAAAAGGGGCAAGGGACTGGGGAAGCGAGTCTTCCCATGTTGGAGGTATACTGAAAACAAGGAAAAGCTCAGAATAGTGGAAGCCAGAGATGTGAAAAAGTCCTGATTCAAAGAAGGGTCTGTCCATGGTGAAGCGCAGGGTCACAAGACTGGTAGCCGGGTTGGGAGGGATGACATGGAGAGACTGAGGGAACAGGGACTTTTCAGCCTGGAGGAAACTCCAAGGGGATCTTTTAGTGACTTTATGTGAGGGGATGATTAAGACCCCCTAGGATATGGAATGGGCTTCTAAGGGAGGTGGTTGAGGCCCCATCAGTGAGGGTGTTCAAGAAGGGACAACCACAAGTTGGAGCAGCTGGAGCTGAGGGTCAGACTAGATGGCCCAGGAGACCCCTTCTGACTCATGTTCTTCCTGTTTCTATGAAGGTTTACGGTTTTCTCCTGAAAGGGGAACTTTATTCTGACCTTTCTGTTTTCAAAAAGGTAGGCTTAGCAGAAACATCTGGGAATCCCCAGATGTCTCAGGTACAACAAGCAGCCACAGGCCATTATTGGGAAACATGGAGGAGATCCTTGGAGGCCCTTCCCTTTCCCAGCCAGGAATGTTCTGCCAATAAATTCTGCTGGAGCCACGATGAACAAGAGAACCATAGATTATACCTACGATAGCCACATGTCCTTTCACGTCCTCCATACTGGCACTTGATGCCATCTGCAGGCCATTGCATTAAGTGCAGGCATATTTCTTGAATTCTTGGGCACCGCAATGGGACATAGAGAACTTAAGCTTATTGTTACGGGAAATTCTTAGCAAAGCTGAAGTGAAGTAAGACATGGGAACTTGGCAGTTCAAAGCAAGCAGTGAGTGAATTTAAACTGGCTGATCCTACTCTCCTGACGATCTCAGTTCTAGCTAGGCTAGACCAAGGCCTAGTATTTGCAGTTCTATAGATGCATATAGTAAGAAATTCTCTAGTCATCGCCCACATGGCTTCAATGAAAGGCACTTGGCCATGACACAGAAAATCCACAGCTAAGGAGAGCAGGGAAATACCTTGAATGCTGCTGCTCCTGGCTTAGCCTAGCCAGCATGGACAGGGCTTTGGATAGCTTGGAGGTTTGAAAATTGCAACTCTTGGAAAGATTAGAGCCACCCACCCTGCCAGTACAGGACTTCATCTAGTTCAGTCTTAATTTAATCCTCTGATTACAAGTTATAATATTCTTTAATTGCTGTTTTACTATTGTTTATTTCACATTTAGGAATTTCTAGAAATTGAAAAGTAGGATATGAATGTTTAACTGGAAAAAGACAAGCAGCTGGAGAGCCTTAAGCCAGAGCCAATCATTTGGATGGCAACATCCAGCTTCAGTTACTAATCTCAGGAGAAAAGAGGGATAGCAATGAACCACAGACTTGGCACAAGACCATTAAGAGGAGCTGAGGGAGGAGCATCTGCCTGGCTTTCCAGCAAAAGCTGAATAGACATCCAAGCTTTAAAAAATTTAATTGGTTGCAATCCTCTGAAAAAGATTTTGTCTTGCCATGTGTATCATGCTTTTCAGTTTTGATATTATTTATCCCCAGTAAACAAATTATTTCCCTTATTCTCAGCAGTCTTGGGTAACCCCTTGGCGAAAACAGAATATGAATTCAAGCTTAATTTTAATATTGAGTTCATTGGAGCACTCTGATACTATTACTGAAATGCCACATTACCTCTATTTCAGCCATATGGCTAGCTCAGGAACACTGGGAGTTGTAAAGGGGTTTTTTTCTTTCCACCCATGCAATAGTATTATACCCTTATGAGGCTATTAACCTTTTGTTTCTAACAAAGCATAACTGGTAGTATTACCATAAAATAAAACAAAAGCATGTCAAAATAGGTAGGGAAATCTTTGGAGTTTTGTTGCAGGGGTATGAGTTAGTTTCACAGGAATGTATAAGATGTGGTAATAATACAGCTCCTGCTACTCACTGAGTGCTAGGAGTAAATTGCATGTGGTAAAGGCCATGCAATTAGCTATAAGTGTGTGGTTTCCTTTCACAGCTATTGAATTCTAACAGGGGGAAAAAATCCCACCGTTACCTGAGGAGGAGAAAGCCAGCTCTGATTTAAATCAGTTCCCCTGTTGTCCATACCAGGTCCTACCCAAAGGGCATTTGAACCAGTTAATGGGATAGACAACTTCCCCCAGAGGTAGAACAGCACATTATTAGCATTATGCCTGCTCAGCTTTACTAACTTTAAAGGCCATTACTGTATTGTTATTGACTGCTTTGGGAAATCTCTTCCCTGTGCACTAGTTGAATCCATTCTATCTATTTACTTTGTGTGAACAGGCTCTTAAGAAATAATGGAAGGCAATCCACCCTTGAAAGAGAAATTGGTGAATTTTAATTCTGCACATGTGAAGCATTTCCACAAGGTTAATACAGCTACATATTATTTATTTTATTTATTAAAACATTTTTATGCCGCCCCATTCGCCGAAGCCTCGGGGCGGCTTACAACAAAAAACTAAAATAACAACCTGAACTGATTGCATATATTTAAAATGACAAGAATGAATCTGGTTGTCTTTAATAGCAGAAAACAGTTATTAAAACTCACGTGGCACCAAATCAGTGCCACATCTGTCGGCTTCTGTCAGAAAGCCACATGTTTCTACATGTGGCAATAGTTCATCTATCTGTATCATGACCCACAACTTTCTTTCAAGGGGTGCCATAAAATAAACAGAAATAGTTATACATTTGTGACTCCAGGTGACAAAAAGAAGTATTTCAGTGGCTCCAACAGCAGTTCTCAACATGTCCAGTTCCTATTAGAACAGATCTGTGGCGAGATGCATGATCAATCTGCACGCGTGTTCCTTCCAGGTACATACTCCTTTGTCATCTTCAGTGGTATTTTCGCCAGCGACTGTGTTCTTCCATAAAGAAGGCAGGTGCCAGGGTGCAAAACAAAGTTAACACTATAATAATGGTGTGTATTGCTGGAGCAGTGGCATATATACCTTAATTAGGCTTACTCTCCCTCTCAAATGACTATCAGCACCTGAAGTGGCAATCTTATGCTGATGTCCCTCGGTGTAAGCCCCAAGGATAATACCTGGACTGACTTTCAAGTAAGCTTTCATACTTGAAAATCCATACAGTGTGAGAGTACCAGAAGAGTAGCTGCGTATTTCCTTACTAAATTCTACAAAAGCTAACTCTGTACTTCTTCATAGCATATTCTCGATACACCGAAAAGAACTGATTGATGTAAGTTAGAAATCAGTCACTGAAGTCGAGGGACCTTGTGCAGTGCACTGGGGCCTACCTCTTGCCAGCCAAGGCGTGGAGAACACTCCTCACCCACACACCTCCACCCCTTTCCCAAAGTGACTCTCTGATACAATGACTAGGGAGGGAACAGCTTTTTGTGTCTTCAAAGGGCACAAATTGTCATGAGTTCTTTTGCTTTGGAGTGAAAGTGAACCTGCAACTTCTGAGAACATTTTAAGGTTATGCATTTGGAGAGTTGCCTTCTTGAGCATCAGGGGGAAAAAAATCCCATGCACCAGACACCAGACACACCTTCTTCTGACAGCAAATTCAAGGAAAAGGGCCCTTGCCTATTGCTCCAAAAAGATACTCCCTGGAAGAAAAGTAATACATGCCAGAGAAGAGGACTTACTTATGTGTTTGTAGCTCCAGGTGTAGCTCAGGACACAGTAGCCCAGCAGCAGCAGCATTGAGATTCCAGCCACACCACCTTTCTTCACATTGATGTACTTGTTGTAATATCTATTCCAGGCTGTTCAAGGAAAAAAGGAGAACAAAAGGGAGCAGCCTGATTATTCACCTCAAAAGCTTTAATTGTCCAGCTCACACCTTTCCTTTTTCATGCATCATAAGGAGTGATGCACAGCCAGCCTCAACCCCCATGCCAGTCTATGGCTGCTAACTCCCCACACCCCCACATAGACCTTAAGGCAGGATTGAAAGATACACAAATGATTTCGTCTCACCTCTGTATGTTGCTCCAAGCACCCCCTGTGGAGACAAGTTACAAGTGGCTAGCCAAGCAGGCATGTCTTGGAGTTTTACATCTATCAAGCGCCTTTCTGCCAGGGGAGCTAGGAAACAGAATAGTCAGATGTTTGATTCCAAAGCAGTAAGTTTGCAGTGCTGTGCCAACACATGTTTTTTTCCTCCGAGAGTAAGTCCCAAGAAAAGCTGATGCAGTTTGTGTTGAGGGAGCCACTGAGCAATCTGTGGGACAATTTCTTCCTCTCATCTCACTTCTTTGTGGTGTTCTGCAATGTGCATTGTGGCTGAACAGACACGGTGGGGAACATCAGATGTGCTCCTCATGGAAGGCTGTAACAGAGCTGCTGAAGGAGAGGAACTCTGCTTCAAAACATCGGAACTTCCTCCCCATAATTGATCGAGTCATGAATAAACAGCAGATGCAGCTAATTGTACAATTTCAGTTCAGCAGATTTGATTGCTGGAGAAGGGCAGTGCCTTCCCAGTCAATGATCTACTCATTAGTAAGTACCCAGGGATGCTGCTTCATACAGGAGGCAGGCTACTTATCACAAATAGAAATGCTGCTACTCTTTGCAGTGCAACTCCAGAGCAGACTGGCAGGTAAGGTGGGAGGGAAAGAACAACTGTTTGTGATTTTTCTGGAACATGATGGGTGGTGTGAACTTACACTAAAAAGAACCAACTTTACCAGTTCATTTGGACAAATGCAAGATTCTCTGATACTAAGTTCAAGAAGCTTAGACTAATATGTGTGTGCAATCAATATATCTGTCCTAATGATTTCCAGAGGTGTAGCCATTTTAGTGTTCTGTAGCCGAAACCACCACAGGTGCTATATTTCCAGACACAAGAACTGTCATCCTGTCTATGGATCCATCTTTTAATTATTATATACCAGGACTAGGTGACCTGCAGCTGTCTGAATTTTTTGGCCTACAGCTCCCATCATCCCTCATTATTAGCTTCACTTACTAGAGCTTGTGAGAGTTGCAAGTCAGAACTCCTGGGCAGCCACAAATTCAGAAGCAGAAGCACACAATGGAACAGAAGACAGGGGTTCCCTCAAATGCATTGTCTTTGTTGCAGGTCCCTTGCATTAGTCAAACAAGAGACACCCTCACAACTAAAGTGCCATTGTCCAAGGAATCCCTTGCTCCACACCACCATCTGTGTGGTCTTCTTTAGACATCTCAAATTACTTTTTAGCACCTTTGATAGCGTATCTTTCAGGCAGCATGACTGCATCCCCAAAGCAGTCTGAGAATACGCATGCAAAGAGACTGGGAGACAAGGGGGGTGACAGCTTCCAAGACAGCTTGTCCACACTAATGATAACTGGGTCAATAACCATTTGATTTTCCAGGGGAATCCCAAGAATAAGTGGTCTATGGGTGGAGCTAGGAATGTCAACAAACTAGGGGTCCTGGGGCTCTCTGGGAGAAGTCATGATATACTAGCCTGGAGATGGGTGATGGAAATCTTCATTTTGACACAGGCTTGAGAGGAGTAAGATAAGGCTCCCTTGCCTGCAAGGTGGCCCCAGCATCAATCCCAAGCCTCCCCCCATGCCTGTAATTCATTGCAGAAAAAACACATATAGCTGCAAGTTACATTTTAAAGGATTCAGTCCTATGCATTGGACAGAAAAGTCCTACATCTTCTGGCATCGTGAGCTGGACTAGGACTCCTTTCTGTTTGAACTTGCATAGGATTGCTACCTAAATAATGTACAGTTTGACTGCTGGGAGCTGTCAGTTCTCATGTTCCTCCTTATTAATGGGTAGGGTTATTCCTCAATCTAATTGTGTCTGTGAGGATGGTACCTTCACTCTGGTATATGCGTAAGCACTGCTGTTTCCAGGGGGATCACCAAGCAGCCGCAAAGAAAAGAAAACAAGGGCATAGTTGACTCTCTTAATTAAATGGCTATTTGAAGAGTCATGAGTGAGGATATCTTGTTCCCTGAAGCAATTAATTAGTTGAGAACAGATGTGAACACATTTTAGATTAAGGAAAAAGGAGCAGCATCCCCAACAGCACATCCATCTTTCCAGTAGAAAACTGTTCCCACTGTGCCTTAGTCAGACTTTTCCTGTCCACGTGTGCAAAACAATTGTGTTATCACTCTGCTCATTCTTTCCTTCTGCAGCAAGGAGACAGAAGCAGCAGTGGGAAAATGCAGGAGCATTACTGGATGACAAGGTCACCTGAAATACCAACCCCCTGAAAAATTCCACAAATGGGGCATGGCTCACCTAGGAGCACCCTCATACACATCTTTGATATGGAATCAGAGGCAGAAAGGGAGTTGGAAAGCAGGGAGGGAGTTGGTGGCTTGTATGGGATCGTGGGAAGTTGGCGAATTGGTAGAATTGGGGATTATGAAAGGAACTCTTGAGGAATAGAAGCAGCTATGTTCCATGGCCTTAGCATCTGAGCGTTTTAATATGTAGCTTTTGTGAAGTAAGCCCTGCCTTGGTAGAAATACCTCAGCACAAATACTCTAGGAAACAAAAGTGTACATTATGCACACACACTTATTCTCCATACTGCATAAAACAACCATGCAAGACTTAATCAGTGCTTCAGCCAACCACCCCACTGGGTAGCAGCTTGCAATGCTCTGTCTCCTAGATCAGGAATTAAAAGCTTTCCATCTTACCTTGATGGCTATCACAAGGTAGACAGGGAACTGGGCCTTCCGAGATTCGTGTATTCCACTGAGGTTGCTTCTTTGAAAATAAGCCCAGATAGTAGTAATTGGGATACAGTTCTGCAAACCACTCCAGTCCCAAAGCACGTGATTGTTTGCTGCTGTCCAGGGGTGTAAACCAATGGGGAAAAGTCGTATCTGACACCAGGGGTGTAAGTTGCCTCAAGGACACCCCTGAATTTTTACCTTCTAACATCATGGCAGTTCCAGAATGTAAATCCTTTTCCAGACTAGTTAAGCAGTTGCTAAGTGTTCCATTGTCTTCACTTTCTCTGAGAGCCTCTCTCCATGAGGGGCAAGTATTTGAGCTGGACCTGGTATGAACAGGAGGTTCTCTGGGGGAGATCTCTCCTTTGAAAAATGAAGGGTGTTCATCCATTTTGCTGTTTGCCCCTTCAGCCAGCTGAACAGGGACACTGGAGACCTTTCTGCAGCTGTCATTAGATGTGTGTGCCTGAATAGCAGTCTCACCATTTCTGATCTTTCCACACCAAACATTCTGTGCAAGCTCAATATCTAACATGCTCTTTGCATCTGCCTTAACAATAACCAGTTGCTGCCCACTGTCCAAGGCCATTTCTTCCTCTCCCAGTGCAGATTTCACTGGCAAGTGTTTTGTCTTGTGGTTGCCAGTGGTAGTTTCACTTAAGGGGATATTTTGAGCAAAGGATTCATACCTGTTCCTCAATGCTTTTACATGATGGTTCTCAATCACTAGTTCCTTTTTGTCAGTAACTCCCTCAGGAACAGACTGAAGATGGTCAGTGGAAGAATCCAGCATGCTAGACACATTCTGCCGTGCAGATGCCTCCTTACTTTGCCTTTGTTTGGTGGAGGGTTTCATTGCCTGACTAGGAGATTCTGAAGTGGATTTTCCAGATGCTAGTTTCTCTTCTTCAGACGTGGCTTTACTTCTACTTTTCTGCATTGTGGGTGAATTCTTTGCAACATTCATTTCTGAAAACACCTTATCAGGCTGTGCTTGAACCATTTCTAAGGCTCTTTGTCTGCCACCTTCTGTTTTGTGTGTTTTTTCAGTGTGGCACTTAGTTTGCTTTTGTACATCTTTACCTAAATATGGATTGCTGTTTGTTGCAGTTCCAGTTATTTCCAGCACCTCTAAGAAATTTGGTTTTTTTCTTACCCTTTTGCTTGCCAGTTCAAGTTTGCTCTTATTTTGTTTGGAGGCAGTTTCTGTGCTTTGGATCTGTCCCCCTTTCTCTCCAGCATTCAGCAATTTAGATGTAGCAGAACCACAGACCTTTACAGGAGACTGCACTTCCTTTGAGTGTGTATTTACTGCCATCTTACAGTGAGGAAGATGGGACTTGAGCCGCTTAAATGACTTTTTACAGTAGGGACAGGTTTCTATTCCTGGAGAACTGCCAGCCATCTTTTTAATCTGAAAACAAACCAGGACACCATCAATGGATAAACCTTTTGTACAAACAGAGCTAGTCTTCATGAAGGATGGAAATGAATGTAGGCTCAACACTAACTGAAAGCTGTACACATTTCACAATAAAGATAAGTGACAGAGAACCACTGTCCCATCTTTTTCTTGTTGGTGTTAATCCTCTCATTTATATGCACATAAACACACATTGTTTCAATACAATTAAACGTGAAAAACACACACCAATGAAAACAATTCTTAGGTTATTTACAGTTTGATCTATAACACTTAAAAGCCAGAGAATATGGATTTCAACCATTAGTACTTTAGAGCTAAAATAGGACTGCCCATTTTTAATAGACTGAAGTTCCCTGCTTTTGCATGACTGTGAGAAATTTACCAGCCTTTCCTGACATGCAGATAACATGTGACAGGGAAACATAATTTTCTGTTACATGTGCAGATCCTGCCTTTGGATAAAGGCAGCAACATACTAGGTTGAAATTAGTGGTTAGTTCTAGTGGGAAGGAACTACTACTTTCGCTTATAAAGAAAAGCTACTTGTTAGCCAAAACTGAAACAAACGGGAAGTTTTGATCATTTGCCAAAGGAAAAAAGAATCGGGCAAAGAAAAATGCTTAGCAATGTTATATATTCCCTGAAAAGACTCCTGCCTTCCCGAGAAAATCAATACAGCGCAGCTCGTAAAAACCCCATCCATTCCGTTTTGCCCTACCTTGACCGATTAAGTTCTAGCGCTGCAATATCAAAAATCGGTGATGATCCGTATCAATTCTACTCGTTGCGGCATCGCTCGTCCCAGCTTGTTGCTCCCACCCTTTGTTAAAAATAAATGGAACTGAAAGAGGAGTTAAAGAAAGCTCTTGTTGAAAGTGCAAGCCATAAGGCGGGCTTCGGATCACATGACCCCCTAACTATACGCGGAGTATCGCGGTAATGAAACGATTCTTTAAAAATCTGGGGGCGGGGAGTGTTTATATAAAATCAGATGCCTATTTGTGGCCTGAACTTGATAGCAAACTTTTCTACTCCGCAACGGATTGGACTAAAATTTTCTATTCTTAAAGAAAAATAAATGGGACGTCATCAAGATGCGCAGAATCCCTAGCAGGGTTTGATTGCTCTGTCTTTCTGGCTTTCTTTGGAAGTCAGAGCTGTCTCTTGTTAGCGTGTTAGATGAGAAAATAAATCTAGACTGAGTGCTATGACGTGACAGCTGCGGGACCACTTCAACTCATCTCGGCCAGAAAAGCAGCAGCAAAGATAGCAGTTCATGGATAACTGTTACATAGTCGTAATACAAGTGTTTTGTGGTAATAAAAATAATTCCCACAAATACTTTCTGCTTATGAAATTAACTGTTCGATATTACTGTTGCAAATGGGATGAGACTGAAAGTATGCCCAGTGTGGATGGGAGCGTAACGACAACTCTGCAGTGTCCAGTATGTACTTATCGCCGCATTTCGGGCAAGGAGCAGAAGGCCAGAAACTGAGTGACACATACTAGCCGTGTGTTAGAGTTCGCTGTTAATACCACATATGCCAAATAGAAGCGGGGTTATTATAGGCATCCTCGTCGTATCTGGATCTCCTATTTTTTTCAGATGGAAGCGGAAGCTAAAAGATAGTAGCTTTACAACGATCCTTAATAAAGCTTTATTCAACTCTTTATATTACGAATCCAATCTCTATTCAGTCGTTACCGACAATATCAAAAGACACGGACCTCCAGAGCACTCTCAGGACTATGCACGCGCGCGGGGAGATGTGTGTATGCACGCTGTCAAGATGCAGCGATGGCAAAGCTATAACAGGGCAGATCTTTGAAGTAAAACCATTTCGTTAACAGCGTCTGTGCGTCTCGACTCTAAAAATCAACTCAGAGGTACACTACAAAGCAATCGATCGGGGTGCAGTAACGATACCGCCTGCTCTATTCCAAAATACAGGGTTCCAGCGAATGCAGACATGTTCACAATTGCAAAAAATGGAAACACGGTGAGTTTATATATAGGGAGAAGGTGCTGGGGGGGGGGGCGAACATTACAGTGCAAACCTGGAGGTGTCTACTCAGAAATAAGTCTTATTGAATTCAAAGGGACGTTCAGGCCATTGCTTGAAAAAGCAATTGATTTAGAGCCAGACACGTAGTCCAAGCCAGTGCGTGTTGACGCGGACGACCGACTGAATTCTATGGGTTTTAATCTCAATCAAATACAGGATTTGTGCAGTCCTAAAATGCTTACCCATGCGTTCAATGTGGCTTACTCCCACATAAGTGCATACAGAATTGCAGCCGTACAGACCAGCCCATGTTTACTTAGAAGTAAATCGCATGGAATGTGGCAGTATTTATACACATGCTAGATTCTTAATCTGATTAAGAGTTTATTGCAATGACGTAGGAAATTGAGGGAACTGAAACATTTGACCTTCGCACATGCGCAAAACAAGTGATCGCGTTTGACGAAAGCGCCTGTGTCTCACACTATGCAGTCACATTACACGCATGCGTACTGGAGGGACCGCCTCGCTATCGGCAACCAATGCAAGTGCGAGTCACTAGAGTCTCCGGGGGGGGTCACTGTGTCGCCAATGCGCTTGCGCAAGAGGCGTACACACCGGAAGCGGTGGTGGAGGAAGGAGGAGGCTGGACGGGGCGGATTGTTTAGGAGTATAATAGCAGGGCCTGCTGGCCTTGCTGCTTCTGGCCTGACAGAACCGGAGCGGCCTGGCCAGGTCATGAGTTGCCGGGGGGCTCTGCCAAGCGAGAGGGGAGCGAGACAGAGGTGGGCACGGAAGCAAAAGGGACTGCGGTGGCTGGACGGTGGCGGCGGGGGATGCTTGGAACGGAACGGGGCTCGGGGCGGCGGCGGTCTGGCGGGAGGCTGGCAGAGGGCTTTGCCGACTGGGCTTGGGGCTGAGATTGGGCGGAGGGCCGTGGGAGTTTTGGTGCGCCAGCGGCCACACGAAATCCGATTGTTCATTTTTGCTATTATTGTGAGTGGTGGTGGTAATATCTGCGACGTTGCATTTTATTTTGGTAAAAACTTACAATAGTGTCTGCAGCGTTACTAGGCCTGGTGCTTTACAAAGGACTTCGGTTCAGGGCCCGTATAAAGAGCCCTCTATCTCAAAGCAGCATCACCGCAGGTCATAGACAGGAGTTTTTCAGGGCAGATTATATGCACATCCCCTATTTCCATGCTCCCTATTTCTGCCGTTCCCAACCTCACTTTTGAAACTTAAGTATTTATATCGTGCCTTAGAATATTCAGAACGTCTGTTGCTTTTTACATGGTTATGCCATGTTTTTTTTTTAAAGTAGCTCTGCTGTATGTGGATCTTCCCCATTCTTTTCACAATCCTGTGAGATAGATGAAGCTGAGAGATAGTGACTACTCCAGGGTTGCCCTCTACACTCTGAATGGAGATTTGAACCTGGACCTTCCCTTAACAATACCTACTTCCTTTCTACTCTCAGTGACCCTTTGCAATCCTACAAATATGGCCAAGTAGGATCACCATTTAACAAATGAGGGGGCTGAAGTTGATTGTTCAAGTCATCCCAGCAAATTCATGGTAGAATTGGGATTTGTAATGGGAACCTAACTCACACCTATGTAGCACAGTCCTAATCACATTTAGCCATTGTGGGGAACCAACTTGAATACTGGTACCAGTATCTGTTTACACACCTGTCCTGTTTATGTATCACCTGTTAATGCATTTGTTATGTGGTGTTCTTTCTTTTGTTCTTCAAAGGTTCTTCCATTCTTTTTCTGCCACCATGTAGTTTCTGTGCCTCACTATCCCTGTAGATGCCAGTAATGATTTGATTCTAAAGTTGATTGAGGTCTTTCTCAGACCAGCACTGGAGAATATTTAAGGAAACCCAGTGTGACTAAAATCAAACCAAAACAAAACAAACCCTTCAGTCTAGTCACTGTACAGGTGATGAGATAATATCTAAAGGGAAAAATAAAAGTTGATAAGCTTTCCTTCACTTAGCAAGTTGGTTCCATGCAATGCTACCTCTTCATTTCATGAGATGGTAATACCACTAATACATGGAGAAATAATACCCAAAATGAAACATGCATGCAGAATTTATTTTTCATATATTTCTGCCCAGGCTCTTGGGGGGCTTTTAAACTGTTTGTTCAAATCTATTTCAAAGGGCTTTAAATAATCATTTTTCCATAGACTGTAACTGTTCTGTGGAATCTTGCCAAATAATATATGAACTTGGTCAAGTTGAGCCTGTTGGGCAAAATGAAGGTGTCTGTACAGAGCCTATGCTCATTCTGTAACAACATACTTTATACTGATAATTTTAATTTTGTATTTGTAAATCAATTTATTTTTTGTATTGTTATATTTAATGGTAATTTATTATGTACTATTGTATTTCAATGTATTTTATCATGTTGTAAGCCGCCCCGAGGTTTCGGCAAGGGGCGGCATAGAAATGTTATAATAATAATAATAATAATAATAACAACAACATTTGATTATTCCTGGTAAGTGTTCTGCTTGCTTTGTGCTCAAACTAACATTTTTACAACTTTCCTTTTATTTTGCTGACATAACTTGCATAAATGAAGTACTGATATTCTGTTGAAAAACCATCAGCCTAAAGCACTGTTTTTTCTTTAATGCAAGTGGATGTCACTCAGAATACTCAGCCTTATTTTTAGAAATGCTTGTTGCTTAGAGAACTCTTGAGTATTCCACTGTGATCCTCAGTCAGCCTGGGAGAGGATCAGAAACTAATTTTAAGAGGTGATTAATCCTTAGAGGAATTTCCTTCTACCATTTCATAGGGAAATAGAAGATGAAGAGTATAAATTAAGTTCTATCATGTAGGTTGAACTACATCTTTTGATACCAATCTGTTCTGAGTTTCAGGTATAACTGTTTATGAATGATGGCCTGCTGAAGAAAAGTATAAACATTGCATATAAAAGTATAAGCTAAAGAATTTAATAGTAATATTTGCAGTCTGTTGACAGTATCAGATACTGCTGCTGAAACTCTGCTAGTTTCAGTGTGGCAGTGGGCCTCACTGGAGTGCAAAAGGAACTAGCACTTCTGGAATGAGACATTTTCAAGCTTTGCTAAAGCTCTGTGTTTTCCAGTGCTTGGGTAATCACTGGCTTCTAGGAAAGCTAGTAGTGAGTTCCACTGCAGCATAGGATACTTGCCTTGTGAATTAAAACTGCAATATTTCATTCATTCATACAAAAACCAAGCTAACTCTATACTGCTCTTCCATTGTTTGCCTCAGGAAAAGGAGACGAAATGGTGCAGAGGAGGATGGGCCCATCTCCCAAACAAAACGCAGTAGCAGAAATGCTGTTTTTCAGGACTCTTGGGATACAGAGGTAAGAATCCACTGTTTAAAATATTGTGCTTTGGGAATATCTGCCCAATCAATACATGGGAGTAGTTAAATAAAACGTGTAAGATACAAATGTGAAAGAAAGTTAAATAGTATAATTTCATTCTGTTAATATCAATCCCCCTTATCTTAAAGTGTCTTTTTAAATGAAATTATTCATTTTAATTATTAGAATGGAGATGTTCCTGTCTTTGAAGCTGAGTATTTACATAAGGTATTTGAATGTGAATTGTATGTTCGTTAATTTACATTTGTCCTGTGTTATAGCTCAGGGGTGATTTGAAGAATCTCATGGATCTTTCTTCAATGATTCTTACTCAAGTGCAGTACCAGGAACAGAAATAACAATTATTAAGGCAGTGTTTCTTGCCTTTGTTTTCCTTGGTGTCACATATGCTTCATCAGAGTCCACTGAGGACCTCCAAGGTGTGGCATTGGTGTAGAGTAGCAGGAATGCTCACGAAGGCAGAGCAGTTTTGTGTGTGCATGGAAAAGTACCTTGGGTAGTTAATACAGATTTCCAGATTGTGTTAAGGTATGATCCCATGCAGGTTGCACAGGAAAAAGGCACACAAGTCCAAGCATGTCCAGCCAGGTTTCCAGGGACATGCTGACGGTTGTAACCATTTTCCTTGTCTAAATGTGCATAAGACTACACTGTTAATCATATTTGCCAGTGCAGCTGGTAACACCTCCTTTATGTTCAGTTACCTTCATGTGCGGATTAGTTCAGTTCAGCTTTAAAAATTTCCTAGTTGATGCTTTCAAAGCTTCTTGGGATCCAACACTGGACTAGCATGCACTAAGGCTATTGTCCCATACCCACTTACTTTGGAGTGTACCACACTAAATTCAGTGGGACTGACTTCTGAGAAAACACATACAAGATTGCCCTGTGATTTAGGAATTTCTGAAACTTTGCTTCTGAGTCCACTTGCCTGCTTCTCTAGAATCCCACCTGGTCAGTGTTGGATATCAATATTCATATGTATACTGCTGCTGCTAGTACTTGAAATATGTCTTATGTTGTCAAGTAGATTGGCCATGGAGATATCATTTCTTAGCCTGTTAGCAGCTTTGTGTAATCTAGAAACATTTGAGATGCCTTTAGAGAGATGTACATAATCTGTGATGCACTGTACAGGAGCACATAATTCTCTAGATCAAGAATAGACCATTTCTGGCATTCCAGATGTTAAACTGCAGCTACCCATAGGCCTATCAATTTCCAGTGGTGATGAGTGATGGGAGTTATAATTCAGCAATATTTGGAGGTCCACAAGTCGCTCACTCTTGCTATGGGTGAACTTTGAAGCTCCTGATTTCCATCAACTTTATCTCTGTGGTTCAGATATTTTAACAAATAATAAGATTGGCAACTTTAGTCTAGAATATTGTTGTGAATTAAAACATAAAATACTTAATATTCCAGAATGCCTGGTTACAGGATACTCTTTAACATGAAAAACTAAAGAAGGCAGTTTATTACTGTGAAATGATATATGGCATATGCTAAGAAGACAATCAGAACTGTGTTTTGATCCAGTCCACTTTATGCATCTTGGTGAAAGACTCTTACCAAGGAGGATATGGTTTATATACATTGTGTCATACAGCTTGGCTTTTGTGTATAGTGATATAAACATGTACAGTACTTGGGAGCCTTGAGGCTATGCTGTAATTTTTCTGCATTTCAACTGGTAGTGCAGAATGCGTTGGAACAAAAATTCAAGCAGATGGACAGAGCTTCAAATGACTGCTGGGAGGACCCATAGCTCAGTGGTAGAGAAAAAGTGTGAGAAAATATTCCAACTCAGTAAAATAGTGCTTTCATATTGCTAGAATTGCAGAGGTAATGGAGTGACGTTTGCAGTATGTGACAGTGTTAAAAAAAAATGGCTCAAAAGACAGCTGTAAATCCAAACAACATTTGCAATGTTTGATTCCCAGCATGGGAGTTTCTGTCACTTTGAGAGACTTTTCTTCATCAAGGGCAATTAAATTTTTAAAAGCTTCCACGTGATACTCTGCTTCTCAGTATTAATTTTTTTGAAAGAATTTAATTGCCCTTGATGAAGAGTAGTCTCCTGCAGTGCACTGGGAATACCACTATATTGGGAATTAAACACTGCAGCTATCTGCTGTGATTTTGTATGTGAGCAAGAAACCTTTTTTTGGGGGGGAGGGGTGCACTCTGAAAAATATAGCAGGCAAATGTTCAATTTAGGGTCAAGAGAGCAACTCAGAAAAATGTTTCTCTGCAAGATGCAGATAATATTGGGTTAAAACCAAAATGACGTGCATTTCTATTGCTCTTTTGTTCCAGTCTTCCAGCAGTGAGAGCGGCAGTACTAGCAGTTGCAGTTGCAGCAGCAGCAGCATAAGCAGTCCTGACAGAGCTAGTGGGCCAGAAACCAGCCTACACCAGATGCCAGGATCGAGTCCTGTGACACCTCCTCAGTCTTTCCATGAGCAGTCTGCACTATGCCAAGGTCCTTACTTCCACATCAACCAGATCTTGAAGGAGGCACACTTCCATAGCTTACAGAGCAGGGGCCGTCCTGCAACATGATGAGCCCAGCAGTTCCCTGCCTTCTGTGAAGGGGGACAGCACTGTGTGATGAGATATTTCAACTTAAAAGTTTGTTAAAATTGCACAAAATGCCTGTTGATTTTTCAGTCTCTATTTGGAATAACAGGTTAACAGGCAATTGTTTACTTGTGGTTTGCTGCACTATTGCAATGCAAAAGGGGCTTTGGAGCAATTTTTATAGGATTCTTTTGGGTTGGGTGGAGATCTTTGACATGTCATACTGGGTCTAAGAATCCACCTCTGTATTATAGGAGTGCATAATGAGTCCAGTCTGACATCTTAATCTGTTCATTAGTTACTGATGCTTTATGTAAAATCCTTTCAAACATTTGTGTTCAGTTTTATAAGTCTTTTTTAATTTCAATAAATAGTGAATATGTTTTTATGGTAAATCTTTGGAAAGTTGAATATCCATATGTCATTATGGCTATGAAAATGCTGGTATCATTCTATAGAGTAGGCCATGCTTTATTGAACTCAGAACACAAGTGCAAATGGCTTGTTTTCTTACTGTACTGAAACAGGAGCTGTTCCCTTGATTGTGTACTGAACTGGATTGGCTTTCTGCTTATCTGAATACATTTGACTATTTAAAGTTTAAGTTTTTATTAATAACTAGCTTCAAGTTGCCTGAAATGCAGGTCCAGTATCTCTGGGTGATGTGGAGATAAGTACCCAAGATGTCCATTTCCTTAAGCTAGACTGAGTTGTGAAACAATTATCCAGGAGGCTTTTTGTTTACATACAGTATTCACATTTTATTGAATCATTTGGTCATGCTGGACAGCCAGCCAAGTTTAAACAAAGATGGGGCTGCTGTGTCTTCCTCTTCTGCTGCAAGCTGCCTGAAAAGGGAACCAGGGCGAAACGTCTCTTCTGTTCTCATAAGGGCAGCTGTGGGAGTCTGGTAAATTAACACACAAATTAGTAACTTCTCTGCTCTCTTTAATCTGGATCCCACTCAGTCTGATTAGCAGGCACATGAAGCCAGCCATAGCCCCCAAAATGCAATTGTCAGTTGTTACCACCTGCCCAAAGTGAGAGATGTATCTCCTTGCCTTAATTATTTACACAGCACTGATAAGAGCTGGAAAAGGTATCATTCTGTGCTGGCAGGAAAAAAAAATCACCCTTGCTGAAGTCCTTTGATGCATACAAGAGATCTGATCACCAAGTGAGCTTTCAGGGCACTTGCGTATCCAAACAACTACTTTAAGGTATCTCAAAGTCAGAACGATATATTAAATATGCGGCTCAATCTATTTGACGGCAGAGACATTCAAAAGCTTTCCTGTATTTTGAAGGGCCTACTTCTCTGTTCCTACTACTGTGAAGCAGCACTTCTTAAAAATGAGAAATGGATTCCATTTATCTAATATAGCACAATTAACTTTGACAGATACACACTAAGGAGTGCTTCTAGTCTATGCTTTTCTAACTAAAATGGAGTTACTGACAGCCAATGGAAAAGAACACTTTCTTTGTTCTACTTAAAATAAGCTACACTATAGGTGGAAAAATCTTTCTATTTTAAAGGGTCTCAAGAAGCCTTTATTAAAAACAGACAGGTTAGTAGTACTAAAAAAGGCAAACGAATTAAATTTGCATCAAACAACAGCCTTTTGGACAATCTTACCCCCTTCAGCATTTTGCAGAGAATTTAGGTTCCACAGCAACACAGAACGAAAAGTATAACCAGAGCAACTGCAGCTGCCTATATGTATGTGATTTCTCAGATCACTTGGTAGTTTGCCAAAAGCTACCAAGATCTATGAGCTATAGGCAACATTTGTATCAGAGCAAAAGCTTTCTATAAGTGCAAGCCTAAAACAGAAGCCTGTGACAGAGGGTGAAGCCACTCAATTCACACAAGCTTTAATACCCCAATAAGGCTTCTTCAGGGGTTACTGGTCAGCATCATACTAGAATGAAGGGTACAAGACAAAGTTAGACAGGCATTCTTTTAATAGTTATTCTAAGATAAACTGAGGTTAAGTGTGGAGCATTCAAGGTAAAAATCTACTGATACTCTGATGTTACTAGTAATTCTTCTAACACGCAGCTTTATAAGTCTAAAATACCTGATGAGTCCAGCTGTCACCTTGTAAAACAAGTAAATTCCAAAATGAGAAAATGTTATACTTGTAACACGTCTCATTATGAATATCTAATTTTAAACTGCTTACTAGGAGTTTAAGATCCTTTCAGTTAGTTGCTTTTGTAAAAGTGAGGCAAGCATATAGGAGAAACAGTCTAGAATAAAAGGGACCAACCTGACCATTATGTTCAGTGTTTCTCAGGGCTGATTTAGTCTTGTGAGAGCTTGACATACTGAGTGGCAATAGGCCAAACCTTGAAAGAAAGCATAGTGATAAATTCCTCCCTCAGATGATTGGCTGTAATGAACACTTTATTGCCAACAGGTTGAGTCACTTACCTGATCTGACTAGATGCTAGAGGTAGGATGTTATGCAGTTCTTGAGAAGTTAAAGCACTGCTTCGGCTGGTATACTGAGTCTCTGACCCTGTTAATAAGCCAAACAGGACCTAGAGTGCAGAAAAAAAGGGAATGGCTTTGTTTTAATGGCGGAAGGCTGAACAGCAAAGTGTTAACTACAAATTGTGTTATTAGATTAAAGGGCAGCACAGAAAAGATGCTGTATAATCTGTCTGTACTTGTTCAAACCCAGTGCTTCGCCCTTTGACTCTATGATTTCAGGTGAGCTTGTGTAGTACAACAGTTGAGGTTTCAAGTGTTCACAGAAACTTGCAAGAACAAATCCATTCATCCATTTGGCATTCTTGGTTACCAGTTATTCAGAAGAGCAAAATTAGCATAAATGTTGTAGGTAATTGAAGCACTTTGCACCATTTAATCAAAGAGTAGTCCAATATGTGAGCACACCCATAGTTATAACAGTACCTGATACCTGCTCTTCATTTTTCTCTTTATTCATTTTTATTTGCATTGGTTAATGAACTGCTTAGGTACAAGTAGCTGATATACTATGTTTGCGCAGTCACCGTTATTATGAAACATCCTATCCCACAAAACTTCTGTTACTGCTCTGTTATTGCAGCCAGTATAAATTGGTTTTGTAGATTTACAGTAGCCAAAATTACTTTGCAACCTTTATATCCTATTGCAGTGGGAAGCTGATTTTGAACTTACAGAGGTTTGTTGCACCAGGCGATTAAGGTTGCTATTTAAATGTGGAGTGAAGACATCCAAATCAAAGGGATCTATATAGCTCTCCAGAAAGTCTGTCTGTCTCTCAATCCTGAAATAAGATGGAAAAACTATCTTGTTTGCAAAGCTGAAACATAGATGCAATCTCCAGTTAATTGGGAAAATTTTCCGGCTGTCCCATAGTCAAAAGCTTACATTTCCACAGGCAGTGATGAAAAAGATTTCAAACCAACTCAAATGAAAATATAAAAAACAGAGTTTTAAACAATTTCCAACTATTGAAAGATTAACACTGAGCAAAGATAATCCGTTAATACAATGAGAAAAGAATTTAAATATTTAAAGGCACATACTATAATAAATTATACTATACTAAAATAAATAGAAGCTTCCAGTTAGTACTGAACAGATACCATGCCAGTCAAAGATTAAATTGCTTCAGATACTGAAACAAGCTAGCCCTGTTTGTGCCAAGTTGCCTTGAGGAACCTTTTCCTGTATCTTCCATGTTTCTGGGAGTACTGGTATGTCATTGACAATCGCTTGGATGTATGTGTAGACAAAGCTAATTAGCACAGTTGCTGTTTGACATTTGTGTCTGGACAAATGCAATGTCAAAACATTTCTTCTGAAGTGGCTTTATTATTAAATAGTTGTTAGCTATAGAATAATAGTTAAATTAGTTATAGTTATAACAGTTAAATAGTTGTTAGATATAGAACTTTATGTTCAAGTTACACATGTGCAGGTATCTTGTGGAAGGTAAACGTGGGAGTGAGGCTTCTTTTGGATGTAAAGCAACACTTATCCTTGAACTGCATTTCTGTGACTTTAGTCAGGGCTGACAAAGACATGTTAAATGAATAAGAACCAGATGCACACAGGGCTGAGCAACAGATGTTTAGACAACCAGATGCTTAGGATCTGTCTAGCTCTGCCTGCATCTTCATATACATATTGTATAGTACAACATTTAGAGATTTGCAAGGGTAACAAAAGAACTGTGCTTTTATTGTACCTGGAGTCTTGCTTGTTTCTGCTGCTTTTCGTATCTTCATTCTTAGTTGTCAGAACAATATTCAGATATCTAAGGTCATATAGAAGTTGCAAAGCCCTGTTCTGAGTAATTGGTAGTTTTCCTTCTTTCTGTGAAAAGGTAAAGGAAGAAAGAAGTCTAAACAGTTTGACTCATAAGAAAAGCTTCGTTTCCCAATCCTCTTTACATATTTTATTGAAGGGGAAAGTGTAGTTAAAAACTACTTTAATCATGTGGTTCAGTATTAATATTACCTTTGCATCTAAAGTGCCATGGAAATTTTATATATGTTTATATGTTTATTTGAATATGCTCTGCAGCTGGTCTCCTGCCCTGTCTCCCATGTCTCTTGTGTTATGGCCAAATGGCTTGCTCCCATCACATGCTACTTCCTCAGGCCCCAACTGAGGTTTAAGTAGATGGCATGAGTATCCTGTTGGCTTTCCCCTGCACTCCTCTGATGCTGGGGAGAGGGGGATTATTTACTATCTTTCCCCTACCCCAGCATTGGGGAGAATGTGAAGAGAAACTGATGGCAGCCATGCAAAATGTTGCTTGGACACTTTGCTGTCTGTCATTAGCTATAGCTGCTTTTTTGCTGCTTTGGCCAAGGGGCTCTCTAGCCTTTTGGTTTGATCATGGCTTAGCACATCGTCCAGGTTTGGATGACTAAGGTAAATGATGTGTCTTAAAACCACACTACAAGGTGTGACTACTTGGGGTTCTTTATAAGCCAGAAAGCGTGTGTGTGCACGGGAGGGGGGGGGGGTACAGATGACAAGCTAAGTCCCTTCCCCAATGCTTTAGTGCATCATGCAAATCCTGTCAATATATTTTTTCTGCAGCGCAATAAAATAGGCAAGTTTATAATTGCTGGGAGATGCAGATACGTGCAGCAGTGGAATCATGTAGCATGCGCTGGTCAAAGATCCAAATGTTATTTCTCATAGCCAAAACCTCACAACTCATTAGAACTTATCTGACAGGCAACAGAGTAAAGCAGGAGCCCATCAGTTTTTCTGATACATCTTTGTGCTGCAGAAATTATCTGGCACAACCATGTGCAGTATTCCATAGATGCCAACCACGTACCTTCTCCTGTTTCTCTTCTGACAATTTTTCATAGCCAGCTAGTACTTCACTCCTACAGGTCTTCAGTAGTTCTTGCAAGGTGCTTTTGGGAAGAGTATGTCCTCCAACTCGATTGACTTCTTGGCACAAGCTGAAAAGCAGGGACTGGACACACCAGGATGGCTGTGAAAAATACCATGGTGCAACAGGAAAACGTTATGGTTACTTGAAAGCATGGATATGGGTTAGACGTGTCATAAGTAGAACTGCAGTACAATGAGCAAATACACTGCCTCTTAAGTGCTTGCCTCTTCCACATTACAAAACAACCAATTCCTGGGTTATTCATTGTGAAATGGGAACCCAGAACTCTGGGTTGTTGAGGAAGACACCTCCCAGAATTTTTAAGCTAACTCTGGGTTATTCTTCAACTCAAGTGTTCCAGGTTTGCATGTCAGAACAAACAAGCAACAGTTATTCCCAGTTTGTTTATCAAAGTAGGTGCAAAGCAGAAGGGGTTAGCAAGCAAGAGGCATTAGCTCCAGAGGTGTCCCAATTTGCAATAGGTTGTTTATACTATAGTTAAGTACAAACAAGTTGTTGTCAATGCCATGCTTAAATTGTAAGAAGAGCCATTAAATCAGACCAAAGGTCTAGTTCACATTCTGTTCCCACAGTGGCTAGCTAACCAGATGCCTGGTGAAGCCCACAAGAATGACATGAATGCAGTAGCACTCTCTTGTTCATGGTCTCCAGCAATTGGTCATGAGAGGAATACTCTCTCTAATGCTGGAATGAATATATTGCTATCGATAGTCATACTCTTCATGAATGTGTCTAATCCTTTCTTTAAAAGTGAACCAAGTTGTTGTCCATTGCTACATCTTGCAAAACAATTCTGTAGCTTAACTATGCACTATGTATTGCCCTCTATCTGTCCTGAATTTCCTGCTATTTAGCTTTATTGAATGATCCCAGGTTCTAGTATTGTGCACAGTAAAAACCTCTCAATTTTCTCCACACAATGTGTAATTTCATACATCTCCATCACATCACCCTCCTCTTTTTTCTAAGCTAAAAAGCCTCAAATGCTGCACCCTCTCCTCCTAAGAGAGTTGCTCTTTTCTTCACATTTCTTTTCTTCACATTGGTTGCCCTTCTTTGTACCTTTTCCAGGTCCATGGTACCCTTATTGTGGTGCAATGATCAGAACTGTACACAGTATCCTGTGTGTGGTCATACCACAAGTTTGTCTCCGGCAGGGGTGGGTAACATATAGCCGAAAGGCTGAATGCAGCCACCCTAGCCTGGAGTGTGCCCTCTGTTGCTTCATTGGTTGCTTTGATTGTAGTAGCACCAACAAAGAAATTAGTAGTTTGCTGATAAATTTTGGCAGCCAACTGCAAATGGCCTAAAGAGGCCAAATTTAGCTTTAAAACATCTATGTAATACTAAATTTGGCTTTTATAGAATACTATCATGATTTGCTTTCAAAATTCTGCAGCAAACCACTACTTCTTTTAATGATGTTGCCAAAATATAGTGGTGTATGGTGGGGATGCAGCCCCTGGGCCTCTAATGTTTCTCACCCCAGTTTAAAGGCATGCTGATACTGGCAATTTTCTTTTCAATTCCTTTCCTAATGATCCCCAACAAAGAATGTGCCTTTTTCACAGCTGCTACATTTTGACTTGATATTTTCTTCGAGTGATCCACTGCAAGCCTAAGATTCTTTTGATAATATAACAGCCCATTAACTGCATATAGGGATGCTATAAATCATTCTCTGTGCTGAATGGTTATGCACAAACTTTTCATCTTCTCTAGTTAAAACATACACATTTGTAAATAACTTCCCACAGTATGTGTTAGCACTAACTGTGCTTTCTTAATTTGTGTAACTCTCACTTCAGAGCTTATTGTAACATGGACTAAAGGTAGGCTCTTTGAACAGGGATGAAGATAATGATTAAACACTGGGGCCTCTATGTTTCGACTCCATGACTTTAAAGGCAGGCAAAGGGCCCTAGCAATGGAGAAACCAGCCCTGAACATGCCCCACGGCTATCAGGCATGGTCAGTTTTACGGAATTCTGCATTCTGTCAAGCAAGTTTATGTTAGACCCTAACTATAATGGTCTTGTGGAGGATCCTTTAGGCAGCTATATGATGCATGCAACTGATGTTTTTCTTGGCCCCAACAACCACTGCATGCTATGCAGCTCCATTTATAGTCCCGATATGTAGCAGCAATGAACAGACAAAAGAAACATTCTGTGCACGTTCCGTTTCGAACTTAAATCACAGCACCACCATGACTACAAGAATAAAATGTAGTATGTTTCTGCTGATCTGAGGTCCTCATCACATGCTACCCCCTACCTGGCCATTTGGGAGCCCATTAGGTTTTGGTACCTTGGACTTTGGCCCAATAGTGTACAGCCTGATCCAGTTCACAACAGCAAACTTTCATTATGTTTTTATTATTGTAAACTGTCTAGAGATTTCCTATGGAAATATAGATGGTATAGAACAAAATTAAATAAATAATTGGTATGCATGTTATAGTGGTCCCCCCCCCTCCACCCCACCTGGACAGGTAGTCGTATCTTGGACTTTACGCTGCTTCCGGTCTCAGTCTCTTCTTCAATTTCAATCTCCTCCCAGTTGGTAGCTGTTGCCAGAATGGACCCAGCCTCATCCTTCAATAATGATTCTGTGAAACTCTTGACTAGGACCTAAGATTAAATAAAACAGTAGCAGGACAATGTCAAAGTCAACCCTGCTACATGCACATATAACATCAGTGCATTACAGTCATACAAGCTCTGTGCCATCTCAGAAACTGGCACGGAGAGGGGGAAAAGCAAAGTCATTATGACTTTTGCATTATACTACCATTCAATACCTTCTAAAGACAAGCATCTCCCACATGATTTGTTAGAATTTTCAAGAATATAGTAACTGAATCCCCACAAACATAAGAAACCATTGTATTTATAGTAGATGGACGCCAAGCTAGATGTGGAAAATGACCAAAGCAAAAATAGGAAAAGGGAACTCTCCCACTGCTTCATCCCCACAAAATGAGACGCTCACTTTAGCAACAGCTGTACTCCAAATCTGATAGGCAGACAGGCTATCTCGCAGCAGTTGTTCTTTTAATTCTTGCCATTTAGCCTTTATGGGGTTCACTTCTTGAGTCTTTCCTTTCCCCACCTTTTTCAAAGGCCAGGGCTCTCTTGCCACATTTTCAGGGCAACCTGATTTTCCCAGAATGCACTGCTTCAAATGTGGGCACAACTCCCCCATGGACCGGCACAGTCGTGCCATGAAGAGGACAGTGTTGATTTTGGGGTTGTGCAAAGCATTGGTACATCCTTGGAGTGTGTCTTGAGCATGATGCAACTTTTCCCTAACACAACCTAGCACATAATCCACACAACGAATGCAGTGGCTGCGCAAAAGCTCCTCTACAGTGCCTGCATCAGCAAATCTGTCAAATGCAGATCTGTTCCTGGACTGCACATGCAGAGTATTGTTAGATGAAGAAGAGTCTGAAGGCAAGTAGGAAAGAAGGTCATCCAGCTTGGCCTTTAGCTTTGAATCCAGAGCACTGCAGAAGTTCTGGACACTAGGGCTGTGAGCCTGAGCCTTCATGGACAGTCCACTCTTACTGAATTGACTGCGGCTTGCCACATTTATCCAGGCAGCATCAGGTGGTAAATCATTAGGATTCTCTGACCATAAGAAAGAGGCAATGTTATGTTCAAATAGGATTTGCTTGTTTGGGGCAGAGGTATCAAATTTAGCTTCAAGTTCCTGTACAGTCAGAAGAAGTAGTTCCCTGGAGCTGCTGGAGATGTCATCAAATCCTTCTTTTGTTAGAGTCTGGCAAAGAGAAAAAGAAATCTTGTTACACAGAAAAAAGTTTCATAACTTACTGTAGTACCAACCAGAAACATGGGCATGATTTTAAGGGGTGGAAAGAAATATATGTGTTGGTGGACCTATCTTGTTACTTTCAAGTTATGAGGAATCTCCTTAAGAGCTGCCCCATTCCTACACTCCTAAGTATTTCCAATGACTCCATTCAAAATTTAATTGAGAGGAACTGAAAAATGACTAATACAAGGTAGAAAAATGGTTAGCAAAGGATTATCTGTTGCTACCAGATTTGCAGCCAAAATAGTTCCTGTCCCTGGTACATCCAGGGGATAAGGGCATGTCTGTAGGATGCAAGACATGTGTCTAGAGTAGGTTAGGAAATTATGGGAAAACAATGGAGAAATCAACAAAACAAGCTGCTTTTGTGGATAGCCTCATTTTCTTATTAATGTCAAGAGACAGGTGAGAGTCCTCTTATAATCAAAGTTACTGTTATACAGTGATTATTGGTAAGTAGGACCTGAGAGGAAATTTCTTAATGCATTACGAACAGGTCTGACATAATTGTACTCAGTAGGTATTGTCCCACACCAGGGCATTCAATTCATTTTGGCTGAACCTATAAGCCTTTCAGTTACTTAGTTAAGCTTTGGTAGTAAGTTACCTGTAATCTATCCAAGAAGAGCTGCTGTAACAGATCTTCCCAGAAAGAGATGGGCTTGTCAAGCAGCCGATGACATACTGTCTCCCAGTTCTGACTCATGGACTCGCTGGTAAGTAGCTCCCAGACCGCATCACGAATCCCAGCCAAACCTTTAAGGCTCTTCACATATATCAGCAAGTTTGTGATCCCAGATTTCATGTCTTCACTGCACCTGAAAGAAAACTTGGGAGGTTAGTAGGTGGTTGCATGATGCCATTCGCAGTTAAAGACTGCAATAAACAATACTTAGGTGATTACATGAATTACAGCCTTTACTGTGTGGGTTACAGCAAGAAGCAGACCTACAAACCAGGAACCAGTGTCATAACAGGAAGTAAAGATAAAAGAAAGCACTCTCTGCCCAGAGCATGCTGATTCCACAGATGAGTGGGAAGCTTGTGTGCACAGGTGACCTCTTGTGAAATTCTGCAGGAGCAGTTGCAGTTGGTGGAAGGAGGCCTGAAGAATTAAAAATTGGAACTTATCATTCACCAGTGTTTTAAGCAGACGTACTGGAAAGAATGATGTTCAAATATATTGCACCCTGAGCCTCTACCTTTGCAGTGGTTGGAGCATGAGGAGAATGTGGACTTTTTACACTGATAGTTAAAAAGGAAAATCAAAACTATTTGAATGTCCATCTTGTACCCGGACAAAACCAGGTCACGTTAGAGATGCCAGCTATCTTTTATTCTGACTTACAATATATTACAACTCCAAACAAGCTGGAAATACCAATATCTATAGCATGAGCAACATAGGGCTTGCCTCCAAAGTCGTTTGGGTGTTAAAAATGTGCATGTACATTTCTGCAAGCTGCATCTGCTCCATCATTTATTCAATATGCAGAATCCAGGAGATGACTGATGTTAAACACAACCATTTTCACATAGCCAGAGTTACAGTCTACGAGAGACCATGCAATGTACTTTTGCACAAGTGAATCACAATGGCAAATCTCCCCAGTAAGCTAAGTTCCTTACAGACTCACATGGTGATCCATTTCTGAAGTGTTTCTCTGAGGTATTCCTGGCTAATGGGATGTGCCAAAGTTCTGAGTGTTGGCTGGAATTCTGTGACAGAAGGTGGCAAGTATTTGAATGAGCTGCTCAACTTGATTTCTTCCTTCAAAACTGTGAGGCCTTTACCTAAGTAAATTGTGTAGAAAAGAGGTCAGGCCACCAAGAAGTAAACTAGGTCTTGAAGAGACAGGAAACAATTGTTTGCAAAGCCAGTTCTGGCCTTATTAATCACCTGCTGGGTGCTGGTTTGTGATGGTCTCCAATGTGGAGAAGAGCAAGCCACAGGGAAGAGAAGGGTCTGGGAGTGTTCCCTCTGGTAGGGTGTAGAAGAGGGCATGAGCTTGAAACAGGGTTGTGGCTAGGAGTTCCACCAAAGAGCACACTTGCGCTTTAATGCCAGCATCTGTTTAAAAAAAGTTAATGTATAAAAGCAGCTATGCACATGTCCCTTTTAGTAAACTAAGCTGAAATAGTATATTCATGGATAGAGGAACACTTTTATCTACACAGAACCTGCTTCCTGGTTAGCCCTGCTGCAAGAGACAGAGAGAATCACCTGATATAGTTCCATAATCATAACATTCAAGTGGAGAGGAGGCTGGATTATGCTAGATGATCTAGCCCATCAGTAAAAATCTCCACTGAGAGAAGTATCATCTTTTATGATGCCCCAGTGCATATCTCAGAATAGCCCATTCAGTTAATAATTCCAGCCATAATTGGCAGCACCTTACTTTAGAACTGGGAATACATACACACTAATATGGTTGTGAAGTAGGGTCAACTTTTATAGATACTTAAATTGAGCTGCTGTGTGACTTCAAAAATAAGATGTATGTACATATGGATCTATGCATCTAGCCACTGCTGCTGTTTTAACAGGAAGTTCTGGCATAGCTGATAATATTACTTTTAATTTGTGAATACAAACAAAGAACCTGCGAAATGGGATAAAAAGAAATTAGCTTAGTTTCTGTGGCTGATGGGCCAAGCGAGGTTTTAGAACAAGAGAAAGCACGGGCAGTATTTGCATTGCACTTGTACCAACCATGATGGGGCTGGTTCAGCAGCTGTTGAATTGCAGATTTTCTGGCCAGCAGGAAATCTGCAAGAGCCTGGCGTGGAGAACTGTCTTCAAGAAGTGTGGCAGAACATAAGGCCTCTGCTACTGCTTGATCCAAAACAGTCTGGCATTTCAGAAGTGATTTGCTCTCCTGCAGGATGGTTGACCTAATTGGCAGACATATGAGGACATGTTGTCAGGAGATGCATGATATTCATCAAGGGCTTTAAAATCTAGAACAAAAGTCAGAGAGAGAAAATGGTCCATAGAAAAGGAAGTCCTAAACCTATTCAACATTTTACTTTGAAAGCAAAGGTAGCTTTATTGGCTCAAAAGAAAAATCCCAAGTTTGACAGAACAAAACCTTTAAGATGACCACTTTCAGGATGTCTTGACCTCTTTATCATGTTTGATCATAAACAAAGCAGGGTGCTGGGAGGGCAGGCAGGGGAGGCTGGCCTGGGCCTATATTGAACAGGCTATGCACATAACTTGTACATTGAATTTAGGCCGTAGTATTAAAGGCAAAAGGACTGCTCTGATCATTTTCTTAAGATGGATGTAAGCAGCAGCAAATGCAACAGAGATTATTTTTATTGCCAGCTCAAAAAGCAGTTTCAATGCTATTTGTTTAACCTCTTGAACTCTCTCTACTTCCTTGTACACAAAATAGCAAGCTTGTATTGAACCTGGTTTGAAAGCTAGTTTAGGAAGTTTAATTTATATGAGCAAACTAAGAAAATACTGAGTCTATGTAAAAGGACCAAAAACTGTGTTCTTTTAAACACACACACACACACACACACACAGAGAGAGAGAGAGAGAGAGCGCGCGCGCGCACTATAAAGATATATAGAGATCACCATTGCATTCAACATTTTTAGAGCTGCACCAATTTATTGCTTACATGCTTCACAACCATGAAGGGGAGCAACTTGAGAGCTGAGATGCTCAGCATTTTGTGGAAAATTATCAAATGACTTGTTCTGTCATCAGTGCTGTATTTACAGTCTCAACGTTTCTTTAGCTCCCTACCAGTTATTAAGAGGCATATATCTGATACCATTTTCAAATTTGCATTCTTGGAACAGGTAGGGCAATTATTAGAAATGAGAAATCCCAGCAATAAGACATTAAGGGTACAAACCTTATACAGGCAGAAAAAGGTGTCAAGATCCCCATCATCCCCCAGCCACCCATGCTGCCTGGGGCATGCTAGGAGTTTTAAGACATTTTTTTGACTAGGTTTGCATAGGATTGCATCCTAAGCAAGGCAGGAAGGGAAAAATCAGTAGGCTGCTTACCGGAAATGGCTAGCTGCTGCTACTTGTCGTGCAAGAATAGGAAAACGGGCCAAAATTGGGCTGTAGCAGGACCCAGAAGACTCTAACTGCAGGAGGCCATGGAGGTGGCAGCAAAGCAGGTACAACTGTGTGGCATATAGGTACTGAGCTGATTCCACGGCACTCCAGATTTTTTCAGGAACCTGCAGTAACAGTTGGATCTGTGCTGCCAAGCAGTAGAACTTCTCTTGTGGCTGGCCTATCGTCTAGACAGGGAGAAACAAGTGTACCCAGTAAAAGACCTGTCAGCACAAAACCCGTTAAAAGTATTCTAAAAGTATTGATACTTTTATCAATATACTTCTGCAGTTTTATCCATGACTATAATCCATAGATTATTGTAGGAAGGAAGGTCATCCAAGTCTCACCTTTTTATAAATCTAAGGCAAGAGAGAAAAATTATACAGATGCTGTATTTCACTAGGATGAAAAATAACAAATGCTAGGAAAGGCTATTAGATAGGGAAATGATACTGTGTGTGCACCGTATTCTTTCATTTAACACAATCTAGCTCTCATTCTTTATTAGTCTTCTCTTCTGCCTAGGAGGCCTCCCATCACAACACTGGCCAGGCTAACCATGTAACAGCACTGCGTGATCCAAAATCATTTGCTGATCCTTTAACATACTTCTGAAAATACATGCATTTTTCTGCATCAGTACATTCTGATGGGAACATGCTCTTTTGGATTAGCTAATCCATCAAAACAAGCCATTTATCCTGCCATCAAACTCTCTCATTTATGGAATTTTAAGAGAGAAGGGGTACCACACAATGGTGTTACCCTCCCATATTTTCCTACCACTTTTGTTCTTATTACAAAAATTATGTAGCTGCTCAAAACCTCCTACTTGGAAGTGTTAGGATCCCTAGGTACCTGGAAGACTGTGACATTTCATTTTATCTGTGAAGCTCAAGATGTTACTGGAGAAGCAAACTATGTCACTAGAGGAGGAAAAAAATATGTGTTGGCAGGACTGAGAGAAAGAGGACAGAGAGACACAGAACCGACATGAAGACCCACTGGATGTTTGATCCTCCTCCCTTGCCCCAATTTCCAAAGCAGCTCATTCAGAAGTACTCCTGAGTAAACACACCAGGGGCGCTTGCACCTCAGGAAGCCCTTCCAGTCCTGCTATCAGTTGCTGCAAAATCTAACGAACGATGTTGCCGCGCCTTAAAAGACCAACACACTCATTTCAGACTACCGCCAATTCCCAGAGACCACCGCCTGGACCCTTCTTCACCTCCCGCCCCGCTGCCACGAAACGGCGTTCCTGCAGCAAAGCAGGGGCAGGCACGGGGGCAACAGGCGAGGCGCGACGGCTGCGCGCGCGCGCACGTGCACCCCACGCGGGCAGCAGGCGCCCCCACGCCCCTCGCGAAGGCCCACCTCGCGCGTCGGCCTCCCCGGGACGCGCTGGCCGTCAGCGGCGGCGCCCCCGGCTCGCCCCCGCGCGCGGCGCTGCTGTAGCCCGCGCACGGCCTCGAGGAGCAGCTCGGCGCTGAGGCGCATCTCGGCGATGGTGTCGGCCGCCTCGATGAGGTCCCGGTAGCGCTCGCCGACCATCTGCCGCAGCTCCTCGCGCTTGCCCTCGATGCCGGCCCGCAGCTGCCGCTCCACAGCTCGCAACTCGGCCGCCGTGTGAGCCTCGAAGAGTGCCTCGGCCGCCCCCGGGCCGCCCCGCTTGAGGGCGTCCAGCGCCGCCGCCTCGACGCCCTTCGCCGCCATCGCTGCCACCTCCGCCGCCGTTAGCCCCGCCGCCGGCCCGTCAGCCGGAACCGGCCGTCTCGCCTTCGCCTCCGCCCTCCACTGACGTGTCACATTCGCCATCTTTGAGAGGGGCAGCGCATTCCTGGCCAGGGAGGGGCGTCGCGCGTCCATCTTGGTGCAGGGCAGAGAGGCTGCTTCGTCACGTCCCGGTGCGAGAAAGGACGTATTCGTATCTCAAGCTCCGATCAGTCCCTTGCATTAGAGAAAGCTAATGCCATAAACTAGTGCTAGTCCTTAAGATTCTGCAATAGACCTACACTGCCAGCACCCTGGAAATCATTACAAGTCTCGTTGCTTTTTCAGGCAAAAGGACAGGTCCTTGCGCCCGAAGTGCTGGCAAACTTGTTAAAAGACTCGTTCTTTCACTATAGTAAAAAAGTTGAGATCACGACGACGACGATTTTGCATGGCACGCGTTTTATAGCGGCTGCCTAAATTCTCTGATTTCATGATATGCACGGTATCATCTATGTAGTGCTTATGCCTTTCTCTGTGTCCCCGTCGGCTGCGTTAACTTTCTCTTTGAGCAGAAATCAGATTTGCTATAGTTGTGGAGGGACTATAGTTAGGTGCTCTGCTATTGAGAAGATGCAAAGGTCAATCCGTGGCATTTCTAGTTAAGAGCACAATTCTACACTTATTAAGGCTGAAAAAAAAATCCTTCAGTTCCCAGAGGAATGGCAACAGTTGCTTTTCTATCTAAGCACGCATAGGATTATATCCTAAAAAGATTAGGTAGTGAGCAATATTTTTTAAAAAGTCAGAATGAGACCTTGGGTTGATGTGGCCCGCAGAGCCTACAATACAGGACCCTGGGAGAGATGGCCAAAGGACTAAACACATAGTTTTGTTTGTCGAGGGATCCCACCTTATCCGGACAGCTAAGGAGCTTCTGCTTGGTGTTATGATTAGCTTAACAAGCTCATGCTTTGTTCTGCACTTAGTTAATCGGCTTATGCTACAGTACGTTATGACATTGATGGAAAGCCTCGGGTCTTATGACTTATGGCTGGCTAACAAGGGTGGGAAACTGCATGTCCCATAGAACACAATGAGGGGAAGTGGCATATACATTTGGACTTTCTGATGAGGTAAACAAGTAGTTGCATACTGGCTAGTCCCTACTCCTGTGCAATAACCAGCCTCTCCCTCATGAGTAATCTATAAAGGCTAGGGTTGTTTGGATGCAGAGCACCCTCCAGGGGCTTTGAAGACTGTTCATTCCAGCTGGCTGGAATCTCTTAGCCAGCAAGTTCATGCTTGTGTTGTAAGTGCCTCGCTCGCTAACCCCTTTGAGATGCTAGCCTTTTGGGGAGATTTGCCTGCCTTTTCAATAAAGCCTCCTTGTAAGTAAGCCTTGGACCTAGCTTACTGGGTTCTTGGGGTCACTCAAACCTGTAGCCCAAGGTCGGGCCAAAACACATGGTTTCCCTGCTGATACCACAGAGTCTGGTGGAAACAGTGGCCACTGCTGGAGCAGATGCTTCTCCCTGTATTCTTTCAGATCCAAATCTGCCTAGCAACTGATGTGTCAGCTCAGACATGCTCCAGTTGGCTCTCCCGGCTCTCTCCTTCCTCTGGCTTCTCCACTGTCCTCCAGGTGCCCACCTATGTCTTTGGAAAGTTTCTGCAGCAGAGACATGTGCCGCTCTGCCCTCAGCAGTGATGTTGAAGGCAGTCATGTTTGGAACGCCTCCCCAGTCACTATAGCTCACACAAACCTCACTTGTGAGCTGCCTTGCTGCTGCTTTTCTGGTTGAAGCATCTCTCTCCTCTCTGCAGAGTTCCCTTACATTCTTCCCTATGTGCCCGTCCGCCCCGTGAGATCCGAGGCAGAGGTTCTTCTCCCAGAGCCCTCTTTGAAGGAAATTAGGAGGGTAGCTACCCGGAGAATGGCCTTTTCAGTGGTGGCTCCCCGACTTTGGAACACACTCCCCGGGAAGGTTTGCCTGGCGCTGTTGCTTTATTCTTTTTGCTGCCAGGCAAATACCTTTTTATTTTCCCAATATTTTAACAGTTAATTGGTTTTATCTTTGATTTTATCATTAATGGTTGGATGCAGTGTGTAGTGTGTTGTTCATTGTATGTGGCTGTTTTGTTTTTTTGTTTTGTTTTTTGTAAGCCATCCAGAGACTTTAGTATTGGATGACATATAAAAACTTTAAATAAATGAATGAGAGGAGCAGATGAGCTACACAAAGAGCACCCCCCCCCCCCCCACTTCTGGCTCTCTCCCTCTCCTCCACTCCCATCTGGTTCCTTGCGTTCCTCAGGAATGTTAAGGAGCCCTGCTATCAGCTTCCCTGCCCTGCCTTCTGAACCCACGAACAGCCACCTGTACCAGGTGTGAGGTGCAAGAGATCCACACTGCGCTGTAGTGGATCCGGGAGAGATGCCCACAGAAGTTCCACCAGCACAGCCTCTATCCCAGCATGGGTGCCAGTCTACTTTCCTGCAGTGGCAACATCTGAGTGCTCCTCAGGGCTTCCTGCCTGCCCCACAGAGAGATTTGGGGTGGTGGATGGGGCCATGGAGCAGATGCTTCTTGCTCTGCAGCCATGCAGGCAGTTCTCTGCTCCCAGAGCGCATTGATGCAAGCCATCTATGTGCATAGATGTGTAGGCAGATATTCGTGCAGTGAGGGGCTGCAGGAAAACCGGGGCACCTGCATTCAGCAGCTGGACACATGCTAATGTGGAGTGGGAAGCTGTGGGAGTGTGAAGGGTAGTACGTGGGCTCAGCTTTAGGCCAGCAGAGCTTGCAAACGAGCCGAAGAACCACGCAAGGAAGCCTCAGAAGCTCTGCAAAAAGGGAGGGCAGGGAAGAGAGGGGGGCATGGGTGGCTACCTTTACAGATTGACACAGAGCATGGCTGGACGGGGGAGTGCTACTCTGGTGAGTAAGCAGTTGCTTCAGCTGAGCAGGGTGGGAGAAACAGGAGCAGATGACTGAAGATGTGCCCAGGGGAGTGTGTGGCCCAATGAGGGAGAAGCAGGCAAAGCAGGCAGTAGCAGTGCACTCTGGGATTGAATTTCACCATGGGGCTCAGAGATACCTGCTGCCATTGAGAGGAATGAGGGAGGATGGTGCAAACCGCACCGGCATGGAAAGCATATGATCTGGAAGCCTCAACCAGGTAAGAACCCATCCTGGGTGGTAACTGCATGCAATGCTTTAGCATTACATGTGAATGCAACCACTAGAATCTAGCTCCACTTACTACTAGCGTGTTGTGGATTGTGGAGAAACAGTGCATTTTGAGGAGGAAAGGACATAAATGGAAAATAATATTAAAATCTGATACTGTAAATATGTTTTTGGTAAATAATTCTTCAAGTATTCATTTTAAATCTGGTTGTTCATCCCGTAGCCTGAACTCACTTGCTGTGTGATAAAAGGAAATATGTAGAACAAATTGGTGGTAGCAGAGATTAATGGAATTAACAAAGCAAGCCATTCACTACATAAAGTGTAAGTGGTGGAGACCTGTCTGAGGTAGTATAACACAGGGAACTTAGAAGTAAGGGTTAATATAATAAAAGCAATTGCTCTGCTACAGGTGATGTCAAAAACCTGGGCTAATAAAAAGTTTTCACTCTTTCATAGGTGGTGAGGTTGATAACACACACCCAGACACACATGTGCACACAAACGGATAGGATTTTCCATAGAAGATGCGTAACTCTTTAATGTAAATGCTATTTAAACGTTACTTAGGAGTACATTCTGTATTGTTCACCTGGACTTACTAACAAATCCTTGAATATTTACATGCCTTTTAATGTTACTGGGCACAAGTCATGTGATTTGCATGGCCAACATAAAAGCTCCAATTATCCACAGATCAATATGTTCTACATGTTAGAGCAGCTTGTTAGAACATACATTTATTCAGGAAAGATTAATTTCCAAATTGAGAACTTGATCCAACTCAATGATTTAAATGGCTGCTGTTTTTCTGGATAATTTAAAGTGATGCTTAAAAATGATTTAAGCAATCCATCATGTAGAGACTAACTTCTTGTGGTATACAGATCCATGTCCCTACCCCACCACTGTGGCTTCTGATTAGCTTTGCAAGATTTGTTTAAATCACTGTATTTTTATTTTCATACAGAATGTATGAAATTTTAAAGCACTATACTATTATATACTATAATAATGTACACTTAATACGTTGTTAATCACTAGTAAATCTTATGCAAGTTTTTTAAGTGTTACAGATAAGAAAAACTAGGAGAGGGGGTGTACATACCATAACAATCACTCTTATTAGCCAACCAGTTGCCTACACTGTAGAGCTTATAGAAAGGGCAAAAGCAGGGCATGAAGGCAATACTTCACTGTTGCCCCACCCCTGTTCTTTGGTATACTGCCTTTAAAGGTGGAGTTTCCATCCAAGCATCAGAATTTAATAACAGTTGATGTATTTTCCCACCGTCGGTGAATATATCTGATCCTCCTTCATAGCAGGCGACCATCACTTACGTATATCTTGTGAGAATGAACTGTGTAACATTGCATATGGTGTGAAGTTGTCTTGGCAGGTTCATTTACTCACAGTTCTTGGTAAGCCACTAGATGGAGATATGATCACACTCTTTCCACTGTCCCGTTCAAACCTGGCCAACAGAGAGGAAAATATTTCCTCTCCCCTGCCCCAAAATTGGTGGCCAGTTTAACAGTTTTGTTTCCTCTGCAGCTGTTTAGTATATTTTAATGATATGATTCAGGGCATCAAAGATTTTCAATATGATTTCAAGGTCCTGAACAAACGGGGATTTTTACAGGAGGTTGAAATTCTAAGGGCAATGTTGAAGCGGAGGGACTTGGCAGATCAAATGGGGAACTAAGAACATGCAAATGAAAATATTCAAGGAACCTTGTATTGACTGGCATGCAAAAAACATAATAAAATATAAACACAAGTTATATGTTCAAACAAACTGGATCAGAACTGGCAGATGTGAAAGCATCTTCCTTTTTTGTGTAAACTTGACATTTCTGAGCATGAACGAAAGGTCAATGCTTCCCCATCTTCAGAAGAAGGCTTCCCACAGGACTATTGTTGAGGCTACTGCTTTGCAC